GCTTGAATATAAAATTAATTTCAACTTTTGCGCTAGATTTGGTAGCAGTCGAGTAAATTGACTTTGAATTAAAGATGCAGCTTTCCTTTTAGTTTCAAGTAAAATCGTATCAATAACCAACTACTACTACTGCTTATATTTCTGATAAATAAATAAAATAGTGTCAGAATGGGCATTTACGAAGTAAATATATGTATAGAGTGTCACTCCTCTGGAAGTAAATACGAACTGATAGGCATGTTCGCATTCCTATATTCTTTTAAAGGACATTTTCACTGTGAACATATTATTGACTGAGAATTTGAATTTATAGTATAATGAAACTTCAGATAAGCTCAGTGTAAATCGACAACCCATAAATGTATTTTGATGTTTTTCCCGATTTTGTTAACTTTCTACGCGTAATTCTTACAACTTATAGAAAATTAGTTTAGGGTTTCTGTGAATTGCTCTAATAACTGTGCATAATTTTATTAATACTATTTTAGTTTACTAATTTTCAGTGTAAAACATCATTATCAAAATAATTGTAATGTTAGCAGTATGCTTTAATTTGGCCAACGGCAGGTTCGAATCAAACAGCTAGCTAATGCTAAAAGCTATGTAATATTCAAAACAGCAGCTAGAAATTTTATTTATGTTGTTACATGAATATCATTTAGGCAACATTTTGAAGGTGCGTTTGATACATCGAGCAAATAATTCTCTGTAAATTAGCTTGATGAGGGTCTGAAACTGAAACCGTGAATTTCGACTTAAAGCTCATCGACGGAAGTTCTCGCTTATTGTGCTGGAATTAATTATTCCAGTAATACAGCAACATTAATTTCTAGTTAGACTTGAATGATAATACACTTCATAAGTATGTTAAGTAAAGTAGAATAACAGAAACATTAAATATATCAGAGTTGAAATATTCAGTGAGTTTTAAGTAAGTTTACATGTAACGTAATAACGTTTCTCTAGTAAGACTGTTTTTAACTGTATTTTTAACATTTTTATAATACAATAACCATCTTCATTGAAATATAATATAATAAGAGCAATAATAATAGTTATTTCAACAAACCATCTTTATTGCTTCCACAGAATTAGGCTTGCTTTCAATGTAGTCTTTCTGCCCATGCTATTTATAGTACAGCTATGCTTAATTACTTAATTGTAATTGTACCTTACATCTTTTGCAATTGGTCCATTAGAGAGGTCGACGGGAGAAAAAATCGGGATTGTCTTATTTTGTTGTGAGGAATAGGGGTTTTATACTTGTCCAGTTGTTTTCTCATTTTTTTCTGTAACTGTATCATTCTTTCGTATAATCTGGACTCTGGTCCTATTTGTTCATTCGTATAGTAATTGGGTTAAAGGACTGTGCATGGGTTTTAAAGAATTTTGTTTTTAATTTTGGTACCATGGATCTAATATTGATTAAGATGCTTATAACGTTTATAAATATTCTCCTGACCAAATAAAGTCAGTGATTTCTAGACAATATAAAAGAAAGCAGCAAATTGAGATACTAAATAAGCTGTCTAAAATTGTTTGTAACCTTAAAGCGACTATTCAACAAATTACGAACACTATACTTTAAAAGCATTTTTACAGAAATAAAATCATATTATTTCTAAGTAAATGTAGAGAACATTTTTTAGGAGGAAATGCGAAACATCAATATTCAATAATACAGATACAGATATATTTTTAGATAATCTGGCACTAATCCATGCATTCAGACATAATCTATTTATCTTTAATTCAAGTACTAGAATCTGATAAAAAATCTCCGAAAGGTGTACTGGTTCACAATATTTATTTTATTTAAAACTTGAATGTGCACACTGTACGCATAATTATGCAATTACAACTGACATAAAATTGGAAGAAAATTAGGTTTTAGTTTATTTAACAAAGTGATTATTGATAAATCAGTTTAATAAATTACATTTTCTTGAAATTTTCGATATAATTTGTAATATTTTGAATAGTGTATTGCCAGTAACTAACGCGTGAGGCAAAATACCAATTTTTTATATTCGTTTATTTCCTTTAAAACAGTAATTCTGATCAGCGGATTAAAAAAATAGTTTGTGAATGAATAATATTTTTAGGACTTTGTTATATACATTAGCCATGTTATTAATAGCTTCATACATGAAGCACATTTTTATACTGCAGTTATGTAAATTTTGAGTCCCAAACTCCCACTAACTGGCAATTCTTTAAAATATTTTTCCCGATTACTGTTCAGATTATTATCAACAAACTTGATTATTTTTGTGACTTTTTGGAAATGGAGATAAGAGGAGTAACTTTTAAGCTGATGTGAGTTTTCGAATAATGGTTCGCCTCGAAAACACAATTATACGATATTTCTATATTCTTATGAAAACATATAACAACAAACTCTCAACATTTTTTTTGGCCATTTTCCAAGTACAAGTCTAAGGTTTTTACTAGTTTCAATGACCAAGTGGATTTTAATAGTCCCATTAGTGAGTTTTTTTTACAAATCAAATGAGGGCATTTAACTCACTTTATTCACTCATCAATAATTGCATAATTCATAAATGGAAATTGCTAAATTTTATGATTTATTACAATAGACGCTTTTAAAACAATTCGAACAAAATTTGGAACTTTTTGTGGTTTGTTATGGATTTCAAGTGTTTATTGCGGTCATTCAGACATTTAATTTAGATCTAATCAGTCAAGCTAGTACGTTGCGGACTAGTTGAACTTTGTGCAATTCCATTAAAAACAAACGCTTGAACTCTGTTTAAGTGACATTATCATAGCTCAACATGAGCTTTGAAATGATCAAAGATAAAACGAGTTTGTATATTTTTACTTTAATTAACTATTCCCTAATCGCATGTTAATACTCGTGCTATACTCACGCAGTGCACATCCAAACGTTACATTAACTTCGGTTTGAAATGTATTCTCTGAAGTGCACTTTCCAAATTAAACCCTAAACTACTTTTTTCTGGGAAACACACCCGGTGTTCATATTGCGATTCTGGTTTAGAAGCAAATTATGTTTGCCAAGTGAAAGGGTTTGTTTACAGTAACACTTTTTGGAACTTTACGTTTAGTAACCATTTTCCATACCATTTCAGTATTTAACCATTTTCAACGTTAACTAGTAAGACAAACGCTCAATAACTAATTTACCATCAGAATATATTTTTTAGAATTTCGGCTTACTGCATAGCAGCGAAGGCAAAGAATAACTTCTAAAAGTAAAATAAAAATCGTAAAATCATTAATGAACAATACATAATTCCCAGTGACATGACTTAACGAATCTTTTTATGATAAAAGTATAGCAATTTTGGTTTTGTTCTAGGTTTTCGGAATCTTGTCAGATTTTAAATTAATTAATTTTCATGGGATTCATTTCATTGGGTAATAAATTACTAAAGTTTCGAACGATTCACTAGCAGCACACCTCTTTCTTAAAGGAAATTAATCTTAGACTGTATTGTTAAATTCCATTTAAAATTCGTTAATGGTCATTACGTAAACTCTGATTCCATTTCAGCTTAGGAACAGTGAGTAGATTTAATTTTCCTTTAAAGGAGTAAACGCTTATATTTCTATTTTTGTTTCTGGCTCGGTAGACAATTTCGTCGGAAATACAGTGCATATTTGAAATTTTCGGAAGGACATAGGGAATGTTCTTGTTTTCCCTTAATATACATATTTTTTGGTGTCTCTTCTTTAACCCCTTGTGTATTCGATTATATATGCACTGCCAATTCGGTCTGGCACAGGAAAGTTTCAGGCATAATAAAGATTTTTCGAGCTATTTCATTTTTTTCTGGCAATTTTTATTTCAAACTGACCAAAGATCTTACTGCGTTCGATTTGCTTCACATGAGTGTATTGATTTTTCTTGATTAAGTTTAATATTGAATTTGCTAGATAACAGCGGTGAATTACCCAGAAAGCTTTTTTAATTTAGAATATACATCCTGTGCACGTGATCTGCTTTATGATAAAAAAATTCAAGTGGAGACAATAATTCTTAGAACATTTCATTTCATAAATCGCTTAGGTGTTGTTTTCTTTGAAAAGCATTGAAACGCTTGTAAACAACTAAGTATAGATAAGTGTTGTTAGACGACAAACTTGTGTTGGAAAGGATTCACATCCATGCTTTTAATGTATAAAAATCGCAAATGAAGAATAAAGTCGTAAACAAATATATGTTTCTGACTTTGCTCTTTGCTCTGGTTCACTTGCAGTTTGTTATTATTCTAACGATTTTCTTCTCAACTTTGACTATTTGAATGCTAATGATATCAAAACATTTATGTTTGATGTTATCATTAGAACTGAAATTAATAATTAAACCAGATTAGTTTCTTTCGTTTTGTATATAATATATTAGAATTTCGGTTAAAATAAATTATAATATATAATAATTAGTTTCTAATGAATTTCATTTGCATTTAGAGTCTTGACTTCTCAAACATATTCCATGAAGGTTTTTGATAGAAACATATGTAATAAGTTTTATATAATGCTGCATTTTAAATTTGTCTAGTTGAATCTAGAATGTCGGGAAATAAGGACTGGCCAGCGTGTAATAATATTTTCTAAGGCTTTTCTAAAGAACCTTATTTCAATGGGTCATAGAATTTAAACTGTTTTGAGTGGGTTAAATCAATAGAAAATCAGCTTAAAAGCATTGAAGAAATTTGAAAGTTCAGGAGAGACTTGGCGGCATCAAAGACAGCATTCGCCAACATTTTTCTTCATAAAATAATTTGCTCATATTTATAAGATAACGAATAAATTTATCTAAGTTTTTCGAAAAATTTTCTGGTTCTAATTTTCAGTCCAACGTTTAAAAATTGGACAGTCTATTCCTGTCTGTGTTTTGACTTATTCAATGAACTTACCCGTATAGTAAACAACGCAACAATTTTTACTAATTACCTACACTAAGCACATAAATCTCGATACAGTTTTGCAAATTCATACGTTCCACTTACATTTAGCGCCCACGATACTCCGGAAGAAATATGATTACGAGTTATTTATAAACGATTTATCCAGTTTTGAAAAAAATTAAATTGTTGTTAAATCGTACATTTATCTTTGCACTGATATTCACTTAAGATTGATTCCACTTGGGAGATTATCAGCTACTTTTCACATGGACGTACATTAATTTGTTCTCTGAATTTACATGTTGATAAGGTTCAGGTAAAACTTCTGTCAATTGGAACGTTCTCAATAGTTACCAATTAACTCAGTTAACCGCTCGATCGGAGCTGTGCTTTTGCAAAAAATATTTTCGGTGATTATTTGAAAATTAACTACGCTACTGTGGATAAATTTGATAACAGAATGACCCGAGGAATAATTTGTTTTCATTATTAGTTAGCCCGGTACCTTTCGATTTTAGCAATAAATTTGACAAAAACTTATTATTGTCAATAAAAGTTTTGCAATATCTTTGTTGATGAAGCTCTTATGTTTACTATGGAATTTTACGCATATGCTAAGGAAATTCGCTATTGTGATAATTATACTATGTATTACGTTTTTCGATGACTCAGTGGACTTTCTGATTGACTCTATACGGTTTCATAATGATCTCGACCGCAAATGTCTTTCTGAGATTCATCTGTTTATATTTTATTCCTAAATGCACTTCAGTATGTTTTTTTCTGTTTGTCTTCTATTCTAATGGTTTATGTGCGTTTTCCAGATCTGTCCGTACCAACATAGCTGTTTTTCCCAAATTTGTTATACGATGGTTTATTTTTTTTGTTTACAATTTTAAACTTTACTTAATCCCGTAGTTCTTCTACTGGCTATTGCTTTCTTTGACTGATTCCAACATTTATTGGACACATTGCCTCACAGGTTCTTGTGTGGCAAGAGACGAAGTGTTGTATATCGTTCTTTTCCTTTAGTAAGTAATGTTTTAATGGGAAACTGTTTTGCAATCTTTAGTTTATCGTTGTTACATACGTTAATCCGACGTATCTGTCTATAGTTTTCTTTAAAGTTGTTAAGCTGTTTTTTTATCTGCTGGTTACAACAAAAATCAACTGAGCAAGAAAACCTTGAAAAGAACAACTTCCACATATTTTAAGCCGATAATGGAAAACTAGGTGCCATAGAAATCGTAGACAAAGAAAGTGAAAACATCACAAAACAGGAATCACGTGCAACAAGAAAAAGTTGTCTTACAAGTTGATAAACAATAGTGAATATTTATAAACCTCTTGCATAGAAAGCAATTTATCTTAAATTCTGTTGTTGATATTAGAAACCAGTTCTTACCTCCAACGTAATAATAGGGTTCCTTGAAAATACACATAAATCAATAATGGCTGGACCAAGGCAGACATATGTTCTATATGTAAAATTAGATGGCGATGGAAAATGCCATGGCCTGTTTCCAAACACTTCCTCAAAGTAATCATTTTTGATCCTCCCATATTCTCGAATAAAATTCGCATTAACCTCAATGCGAATAAATGTCGAACCAATGTAATTAGCACAATGGCTAATTAATTTTACATCTTTCAACAGCAGGGGCGACGTTATCGATTGTAACTGTCTACAAGCTTTAAGGAAAAGCTGCTGTAGTATACTTTGAGCTTTGGTCAAAAACTAGCTTAAAGTGACAACTGGGACTCAATAAAAGTTAAAAAGATGTAATTCTGGTTTAAACCCAGCATCAAAGGTGCAGCCTGTTTGACTGTTTACCACTGTCCTGGCTTTCTGCTTACTTAGCTAGACGATGGCCGGGAAAGTTCCAATTTAAAAACTAATCTGATTAAAAGGACAGCACTGCAGATTAACAAAAGCTTTAGGAACATTATTTACTTGGGACGTCGGGACAAGAATCAAGAAACTAAATCGTGTTATTTACCATAAAGATGTTCGCTTTCGCTACCGGGGACCGACGACCGACATGGATGTGCTGGAATAGAGGATAACTTAATTTTTGATTAGGTAACTTTGCTAGTTGCTAGTTAGGATCGCTAATATATTTAAGGGAGACCTGAGATTTCGATCGATATTAACTGCCTTGTTAATTATCTTGATCATGAGTTTAGGGTACGCAAGTGTGACTTGAGTAAGGTGATGAGTTTTCGGTTTGGTTTAAACTGGAAAATAAAATTTGCTGTAGAAACGACACGTCGGAATGCTGGTATAAAATCAAAGTTATATTGTTTCGTTGGATCATATTATGCTCTGTGATTATTGCTGATTATCTGTTACTATGTTCTTGTTTGCTAAGAATGTTTGATTCTTCAAAATTTATTCTCCATTCTTCTCCTTCGCTATTAAACAGCTGCTATTTCAATCCGCTTGCAGTCCTCATCTTTATTCTCTGCTTCATGTTAAAGGCAACAAGTACTTTACATTGTGATGGGAATCGTTTTTGATTAGACACACACATTTTCAAGTCACTGCAACGAATGATGCAACTTTATCATCTTCCGACGAGGATCGTTTGATAGTTTGTCCTTAACATTACAAACGATTTTTATCGGGATTGAAATATTTACCATCCAGCAAAAGCTTATTACCAATACATTATTCCTAACAACACATGAAAAGTGAATTTTTTATTTATCTCAACGTAAATGTTTCCTTTTTGTTCTTCATTGAAAACAAATCATTAATAATATTCAAAGGTTTGCCATTTTTCGAAAATTGATCCTTTACACTACGATTTATTCGTGTAGATTTCAACATCTTTACTTTGACATTTACTACAATTTCCAAATCTTCTCCATCCGTTTGGCTTGAGTTCATCTGGTTTGACCATTTGGACATCGGATTGTTGTTGATCAGCTTTAAGAATGTTGCTTTTCTTTGTTCACTTTCTGTACTATTTTTTACAGAATCTTACGTTAAGTGAAATAACTCGATAAATGAACAAACTGGTTTTATGAAATTGTCAAAGTCCAAAGAAGTACTTTTGAACCTGAATAATCAAGATCAAAGACATGGAATAGGTTGGCAAGTTAATACGCAGTTCTCAAAAGCTTTCTACTTCATTCCCGAATGCAAAGCCAGACAAAGCAAGAACAGGCTCCTAACTTTCTGAGGTTCACCTTCATTAACATATGCTATCATGTGTGAATCCTTGATCGCCTTAGGCGTACTATTTGACATGCCAGGAGAATTTTTCTGAAAGGCTTCTAGTTTATCCATTTTGTTATTTAAATTAATATTTATTCCACCATCTACTTTTAGATAGACAAATAGGGTGATTTGAATTTCATAGTAAATTGTGTACAGTTCTTTCACTTTGCCGTCTCATAATAAACAAAAAAGGCAAACAATTTCTAGTCAATCAACAACTATATTAAAGTTAATAATCATAATTCCCCAAAAATGAGTTAAATTCAGGCCACACTTTATCAGTCACATCCCATTTCAGTCGCTTGATTTTGAGTCCATTGAAATTTCGTTTTTCATGGATTTATAGTCAAAACTCCATGCGTATCAAACGCATTAAGCGCGGCGTTAATTCAACCTGATTTGTAGGTTCCATTATAAACCAAAAGCAGATTTAGCAGCCTTTTTTCATTTAAGCCTAAATATACTTTTTACTAGCGAGCTTTTTATTCAAATATCTGATTTTTTTTCAAGTGAAAAGTTATCGTTGAATTTTATTTTGATATATTGCCCGCAAATGAATATTCATTCAGAGAGAGAACTAAATATTGACAAAAATTCAATTCAAATCGTACTGAATTTGCATAAATAACTTTGATGCTCTGTTGATGTCTTCTAATACCAAACCTGTCTTCTAATACCTTCTAAAAACCAAACGCCCATTTATATCACAAATATTCAGGATCTTTTGAGCTGAAATTATTCATAATTCCAAATTATCATCATTTAGACTTTGCATTAATTATAGTCATGGTATTTTGGATGGTGGATAAATTATTACAAGTTCCTAAACCATTTAATTAAACCGCACTAGTTGTCTAGTAAATAGCTACATATCCATGCTAATTTATTGCTCAATTATTTGATATTAATGATTATTAGTATTACTAGTTTAAAATATCTGCAACTAAATTGCTATATGATAATACAGGGATAACAATATGATTTGCCTGATTTAGATGACTTGGATCATTTTCCTCTGACGATTAATTCCTCATTAAGTTTGTTTAGATGAATATTTTTTGGTTGCTTTGCCTGGGAATTAGTTACTCCAGTCGATGAATGAAGACGACTGAAATTATTAAGGAAAAAATCATATTACATATAAAAATTAAATATAATTTTCTTATATAATAAATAATTGCACCAGCAAAATCATTCATCATGCGGTAGGATTATTGAAAGACAAAACTTGTGGTTTCCTCCAATCGTGTTACTTTATTGTTAAATGTCGAAATAGAAGAGTCATTAGAAAAGTAGTTAAACTAAAGTATTAAAATAAAATTCTTACTTAATTAATTATGCATTTTATAATTATTTTAATCTAATTAATTATTTTGGTCCTCATTCATTGTGCTAATTCGGTACCATATTAAATTTTATTCGGATCTTTCTTTTAAATTTCCTTTACGTATAATTTGCTTTATTCTTTTGTATATGATCCACTATTTTAAACCGATCCCGTGTGACGAATTTATGTAAATGTTGCTTTGTTTCCATTGTTCTACTGTATTCATTATTTTTCATTCCAATCGATTTGCATGGCATTGAAAGTATAATTTGGAAGCGTAACATTCATTTTTTGATGACTTCATGTGCATGTTATAATTATTATTACTCTGTTTCAATTTACGCGCTTGATCACATTTTTGCACAATATAATCGAGCTTTGTTCAAATGTCTTAGATAAAGCAAAAAGCTCTAATTTAAAATAGACGTTAATGATTCATCTAGAGAACTGGTTTGACGATTCTTGTCTGTTGAACTTTCCTCAATCGATAAACATGAATTAAATTGGTTTCAATTTCATAACAGCAATTTCAAACTTTATCAGGCTATATTTCAACAATCCCTTTGTGCGACTGGATTTAGAAGCCTGTAACTTTTTAATCGGCTTTGTATCGGCAATTCTGAAAACAAATGTTATGATCCTTTTTTGTATTGTTTAGGTATTTTCAGCAGGCAATGGCATTATGAAGGATACTACATTTGTATTTTATTTTTGTGTATTTTTTTAAAACTGACTGATGGATGTTGGTTCTCTCCTGCATGGAGGTAACAATTATTACTGTTTGAATCTGATTTAGACTTGGAGATATTC